ATCTTTCTATGAGCTTTTGGAAGTACTCTCATACCTCCAGTATAATACCTGGCCATAGTAACCACTCAATAAATACGTATTTATTCAGTGAATGAATGATTAAAGATGTGGACCCACATCCCTAGCAGAAGGGCAATATCTCTCCCACTTTTTCCTTCTGCCTGGGGTGACTGACAGAGTGCCCATCCCTGAGAGACCCTTATCATGCACAGCATAGGAGTTGTGGAGAAAATCTAGCCCCGAGCTAGAACGTGGATGGCCCGCCCTGACATTTCATGAGTTGATCTTTATTTCAGGAGTGAGCAGGCAGTGGAAGACAGGCAGGGTTTTGCAAGAGAAGCATCATAACTAGTTTTTGACAGGGTGCTTCTGGGTTTCCTGGAGAACATTTGCTATGAGAGCAGGTTGTTGTCACAGAGCAAAAAGGCCAGACATCTTGGTGCAGTGGAACAGACCTGGATTCAACTTGCTGTGTGACGTTGGGCAAGAAGTCTAACCTCTCTGAGCTTCAGTATAAGCATCTGTACATAGGAAGCAGTGACTCTCCCCTATCAGGGTAGCTGTGAGGATTAATGAGATAATGTCTGTAGGAGGCCTAGCAGAATGTCTGGCACATCATATTGGTTCAATAATAATATGATTTCATGAGGCTGTAAGCCTGCAGGCAGGGGCTGTGTTTGTTTTTGGCTCAAGAACCCAGTGTCTAGTATAGTGTCTCACATAATGCATGCTTTAGGAAGTCTTTATTAATGATTTAATAAGTGGTCAACTGTATTTTACCTCAGTAGGATTTCCTTCCTCCAGGAAGGATTCCCTTTGGGTAAAAATTTCCCTCACTAAGTACTCAAACCAATTGTTTTTCTTGTGGGCAGCTCAAATCCCTGTGTTTTGAAACCTCAGAGCTGGAGGATTAACATGTGTTTGTGGGGATGGCTCTGTCCTGAGTCATGTCTGAGACCCTCACCCTCCCTTGTGTTTGTGGAGGGTGGAGATTCCTCAGCCCCGACTTGAATGAGAAGGCTGCAGAATCAAATCAATGAAGAGAGATTCCTATTTGGTTCCAGTACTACTGAGAGCACAACTGTTTCTTTGAAGTTGACCTTCATTTATTTGGAGGGGAAAGCAGTTAGTTCAGTAATGGCTTCCTGGTGCCTTTCAGCATTTTAAAAGACGGAAGAAAGATTTGGAGCGAGGCAAGCTTCCAGTGTTTTCTAAACAACTCACTAAGCCCAACTACTAGTTGGCTGCCCAGTGCTTCCTGCTCCCTGTCCCCACACCACTGCAATGCACATTCCTCCACAGCCAGCCACTTCTTGAGACCCTGATTGGGCCTTCCCCAGGCAGGTGGGAGCTGGTCTTCATCATAATGCCATGCAGCTGAAGGTTCTCTTGAAAACCTTGTGCATGGCCCGTGGAGTAGAAATACTGCTACCTTCTATTCCAGTTATTTCCTGTCCCTCCCTGGCCTGATTCCAGGGGCCAAATAAAGAGGTTCTTGTTTGGTGGAGTCCATCCCTGCTCCTGAGTAAGTGAGCACTGGTCCCTGGCCCAGCTTGGTCTGCGGCCACAGGGAAAGAATGGGGAGGAGGTGGCAAGGGTGCTACAGGTGGGGAGAACATAGCAGGAGATGAGAGGCCCTGCTCTGCAGGCAGCCCATGCCTGTTCACAAAAATAAAAATAAGGATGATGGAAAACAAATGGGGCCCCTGAGCCAATGCCCCCTGAGGGTCCGGTATGGGGCATGGCTATTTTCCCTCCTCCCCAGGAGCAATCCCAACCCTTCTCTCCCATGGAGAAAACAAACGCAGCTATGGAAATCTGGTACCATCCAGGCACCTCAAGTCTATCACCAATTGAAAGTCACTCTACCCATGCTTCTCTGTTTGCCAAGCACTGCTTTCTCCCTTTAAGAGTGAAGAGCCAGCCCTTCATGGAAAATTTAGAATTTGGAACCTTCCTCAGGTTCCAAGGGAGTTATTGTTCTACATCACGCTACTTTTATTTGTGTTTTATTTGAACTTAAATCAGAGGAAGTAGAAACCCACATCTCCATTTTGCTGGAGTGCTCTTCCTAAATTTTAAAGAAAACATCAATTAAGCACCTTCTTTATTTTAAACTCTTTAATACCTTTTGGAGTCTATCCCAAACCCGTGGTCTGAAGTCCACATTCCTCATCTCACCTGTTGAGTTTCCAGGGAAGAAGGATGTGGATGGAGTCCTCACAGGGGCAGAACATTGGGAAATCTCTGGGAAGTCATGACATGGATAGTCAGAAAGTTTTTATTGCAAGGAGAGGAGAAACAAGCTTTGATAGCATCAGGGTGGCAAGAACCTCTCACTTTCTATTGCCTGGAAGCCAAGGACCTGTGATGCTAGGGGGATAAGATCTTAGAAAGGCACGGACAGAAAGGAGAGAAGCAGTGAGGATATGTGAGTGGGCAGAAACTGAGGGTGGGCTTGATGACTTTAAGAGCAGGACCTAGAGAGAAGCCACATCATTCCCTACCACCATGTGCTGGGAAGATCTAAGCTTTGTAGCACTTTAAAACCTTGGCATCCAGAATGCTGGGGCCTGAAGGAACCTGAGAGTTCCTCTGGTCAGTGATTCCCAAAGCCTGGTTTGTGGACCACCTCTTCAGAATCACCTGGTGGGCTGGTTAAACATGCAGATTCCTGGGATCCATCTGATTTGCTAAATCAGATTCTCTGTGGATTGGGCCCAGGAAGCTACATTTTTATCAAGTTTCACTGGTGATTTTGATCCTTGTTAAAGGTGGAGATCCCTTGATCTAGTTTACCACTCTTGTTCTCTGGACAGGAGATCAGAAGCCCAGAGAGGTAAAGCAACAAGCCTAGGATCTAACTGATGGCAAAGCTCAAGTGGGAGGAGCTCTATTGCTCCTGACCACCAGAACAGTGCTCTTTCCATTTCAACATGCTGGAAGCCTCCTCACCTGTTTGGAGCTGTTTCCCCTGCCCCCTAAAGCCCACGCCTGCACCTGTGATTCATTCCTGCATCCTGGTGGGGCCTTCTACTTCCTGAGGATGCTCTGCTTATAGTCTCTGCCAGCCAGAAGGCAGTGACAGAAGGAAGAAGGGAGAAAGACCCAGTTCTCTTCAGAGTAACAGGTGTGGGATTGTCAAATGAGTAGAAAAAAAGAAAACACACTGTTATACTGGAGGGGTGATTGAGTACTAATAGCTGAATTTCACTGAGCATTTGGTATGTACCAGATATTGTACTAAGTCTTTTCCAGGCATTAGTGTAATCCCCATGCGGGAAATATGAATTAGCCCCATTTTGTAGATGATGAAACTGAGGCTCATACAGGAGTGGTCATTTGCTCAAGGTCATGTGGCTAATAAGAGGCCAAATCATGTTCACATACAGCCATGATCTTTGCGATGGCCCAATGCAGTGTGAACCGACATTCACTGTTAAAGCAACGTGCCTGCAAAAGAACCCTTAGATCTTGGAAAAGAAAAGCAAGGTTTTCTGCAGTGGGATGTGATTGCTCCTGGGGGGGTAGAACTTCAAACCTTCTCCACTTAGCACTTACCACTGAAAATATTTCTGAAAGGCATTAGCCTGCAAGCCTGCCTTAGAAAAGATGACTTGGAGAATAGGTTGAACAGCTTCTTTGTCATTTTCTTTCCTTTCCTTTTTCTTAAACAGAAACTCTTGATACCAGTTTGCTTTCTTTCCATTCACCTTTTTCTCTTAAAAGCAGTGTATCTTCAGAATTTTAGTTGCTTAAGGGATTTGGTTATATTCAGCTCTATCTGAGACCCTGATGTGAGTGCAGGCATATGTGGTTCGTGGCATGTAGCAGCTGTTACTTCTGACATCATGGCACATGACTGTGCCATGATCACCCCCTCCATTCATTCTCTGTAGCATCCCCCAGGGATGTGAGAAGAAATCAAAGCAGATCAGTGCCTCAGAGAAGGGACAAGGGTTTCCCAAGCCCTGTGAACAGCATGTCACAGTACCCTCCTCTACGTTTACCTCCTACCCAGACCTTGGCATCTTCCTTAGAAGAAATCAGGTAGCCTTTTGAATAATTTAGTTAATAGGACCACCAAATGAAAGAAGGTGGATACATCCCTATAAGAGGGGAAGGACACACTGAATTCCATCTTACCAGCATTTGGTGTCTGTCAGCTGAAGGTGAGAGACAACTATAATTTAATTCTGGGCATTCCATAAACCACCACATTTTTGGGTTAAAACTGAGAATGTGTGACTCTTTGGTTATCTTCTCTTTCAAATCGCAAGCTCTAGATAACTTAAAGGCTGGCTGGGGTGGTGTGCTGTAGACTGCCCTTATTAACCGATAATGAATGTAGCGCACTGAGGTGACAGCCATCGGTGAAGGGAGGAGGGGAAGAATGCAGCCTCTGCAAAGCTCTTGAGGCGCGTGGCCTCTGCAAGAGCGCTGGAAATGCTGAATGAACACTGCCTTTCAGTGTACGAGCTGCCTCCCTGCTTCCCAAATGCCGCGTCTGCAGTAACTACAAACTATTTTGTATGCTGCATTAGTGACGCTGCCTTAGCCGGCATCACTACTACCGAAATAACGCTGGTGTGATGTTCAAGCTCAGTGTTCTTTTCAATTATTAAACCGAGCCTGTGAGTGAGTCATTCCACATACCAGATTTTCCTTCCATGGTTCTATTTCAAGTCCTAGTACCTTAGCGTGTTCCACTAACACCTGAGTTGGTTCTCAGCGCTGTGAGTGAGTCATTCCACATACCAGATTTTCCTTCCGTGGTTCTATTTCAAGTCCTAGTACCTTAGCGTGTTCCACTAACACCTGAGTTGGTTCTCAGCCATCTACCCAATCTGCAAAGCCTTTGCAGAACAAACAATATTACCCAATCTCCAAACACACACAGACTGCATAAAAAACAACACCCACAAAGAACTTTAGAGTAAGCTCATCAGTAAACCCAAGATCGGAAATGCCTGGTTTCCCTCTGCCAGTCCCTAACTTACCAAGTGGTAGAGCGATGAAGAAGGGTAGCCAGCACAAGATGAACATACCAACCACAATGCCCAAGGTCTTGGCTGCTTTCTTTTCCCTGGAGAACTTAAAAAGTTTGACAGCTATGGAACTCCTGGGGTTGTGGCCTTTGGCCTTGGTACTGCTGAGGGTGTCCTCATGAAAGTTCTTGGAGTGGATCCTCAGGGTCAGCTCCTTGGAGTTGGACATCTCCTTCATGACTCCCGCCTCCAGGTTCTTGGTGGTCCTCTTGGCAACGATGTAGACTCGGCAGTACATGACCAGAATGACCGCCAGAGGGATATAGAAGGAGCCCAGGGAGGAGAAGAGGGCGTAGAAGGGTTCTTCGGTGACCCCGCATTCCTTATCATCATTGGGCGCCGGCTCCTTCCACCCAAGGAGAGGCCCGATGGAGATGACTGTGGATAACACCCAGACGCTGAGGAGCGCCAAGATGGCCTTCCTCCGGGTGACCAGCGTGGGGTACTGCAGCGAGTAGCGCACCCCGATGTAGCGATCGATGGAGATGGCACACAGGCTCAGAATGGATGCTGTGCAGCACAGGACGTCCACGGCTGCCCAGATGTCGCAGAAGATCCGCCCCAGCACCCAGTAGCCGAGCACCTCCAGGGCAGCCGAGAAGGGCAGGACGGTGAAGCTCAGCAGCAGGTCGGCAATGGCCAGGTTGACGATGAAGTAGTTGGTGGGTGTCCGCAGGTGCCGGTTGCAGGCCACGGACAGGATAACTAGGATGTTACCCACGATGGCAAAGAGGATAAAGGCGCCCAGCACCAGGCCCACGGAGATGGCCCTGGTGACGTCCAGCTGGGGCAGCGTGGAGTTGCTCGAGGTCTGGTTGGGGCCAGTGAAGTTGGCATCTTTCAACTCTCCCCAGTGGGCAGGTGCTGATGTGTTGTGGCCGGTGTCCAGGTCGGGATTCATCTTAGAGTCCGCCCTCCATAGCCAGGGGAGTGATGGGGCTCGGAAGGGCTGCGGTCAAGGCTCCTCAGCTGTCCTGAAACTTTGCTTCCCCCGAGGTCTTCTTGCCAGAGCGCCCTCCTGGCGAGAAGTCATCTCCCCCGGGCAGCCCAGCCCGGCGGCGCGTCTCCTGCCCGCACCGAGCCGCCCGCTCGCCGGAGGCATGGGAACAGGCAAGCTGCCATAGCTGGTCAGGAGCAGAGCTGATTACCAAATTCTGTTTCCCTGGCCCACAGAACAAGTGTTCCTTCTGCTGCCATGGGGGACAGCCATCCATGACAGCCACTCAGGACTTACACAGTGGGCTGTGAGAGTGGGACAACTTGGGCAGCCCTCTGCCAGGAGTCTTTATGAAAAGAGGAGATGCCCTTGGTCCTGCATGGCTTGTGCAATAATCTATCTGCAGATAGGGGCTGGCCCACATGATCTGTTGAGATCCCCCAGCTCCAGATGGTCAGCTTCCCCTGCTGGATAAAGTAGCCCCTGAAGGCAACCCTGCTTGCTGCCCTTTCTCATGCATCTTCCACAGTGGGGGTGGAGTGAGGTGTCATCCACTCAGTTCCCACCATTCCCATGGATCTTCAAGTCTAGGATGATGGAGCTTCCCTTGAGCTGGTTTACTCCCAAGGGGAAGTGGGAGGAGGAAGAGAATGCCAGTAAGCTGGCACAAAGCTGGTGATTAGCACAGAGGCAGGGATGGGGGGGAAGAGTGGGACAGAGTGGAGAGCAAGTTCCAAGTCCACATTTTGATTGTGGTGACCCATTTCCCACTTTCCTGGGCATTAATTTCACCAGCTATTGAACAGCCAGCAACACACCATTGAATTTACAGAGGCTGTGTCTACATAATCACAGTACCCAGCTGCAATGTGAGAACTCGGCCTATCAGACATTTTTCTATGGTGGCAAAAGGCCAGGAGAGAAAATAAAAAGGAGCAAATCTGAGATTCAGTGTCAGTTTATCCTTATAATAAAGGAGAATAATTTGTTACCTAGATGAGAACCGATGTCTCAATTCAGGTGTCAGGATGTGGAAGAGATTATTGAGCCAGCTGGAGAAGTTCAAAATCCCTTGCACATTTCAGACATGTTGTCATTTACTGGCATCTTTCGTGAACGCAAAGCAAACGTTTCACTGTAAGGCAAACAGGTATTAGCCTTAACAGCAGCCATGTAGCAGGACCCCTTTGAGCAACCTTTGCTAACGGTCCTTTCCTTGCTGCTCCTCCCCTCCGCTTGCTGGAGATGCCTCTTAACCCCTATAGCTGATTTTTGACCCATGGAATTGACTATTTGTTTAGGTGTCATGAGGATACAGACGATATTTCATTTTCTCGGTACTCCCTGGGGCAAAGCCAAGCACAGAGCTCTGACTCACTCAAGGCCTGGGGAAGAAGAACCTTTTCATTATCCGTCTTATTACATTAGAAACCTCTGATGTTGCAAGCTCCCATTTTTGTGAGTCCTCTAGGAGAAGCTGCTACTGAATTAGACTTTTGGGGAAACTGAGGCTATGGGCGATTCAGGGATCTACCTAAGGCATCTGTGGGAGGAGAGCTGTCACCCGTGATCATGCAGTTTTGCATGTTTCTCCCTCACTAGCTCTCGTGACTTTTGGGGAAACTGAGGCTATGGGAGATTCAGGGATCTACCTAAGGCATCTATGGGAGGAGAGCTGTCACCCGTGATCATGCAGTTTTGCATGTTTCTCCCTCACTAGCTCTCGCCAGTTTTCAATCCAACCGGATGTATAAGGGGTATCTACTTTATGTAAGGCCCCATGCTAGGTGCTGTGGGTGAATCAAGGATGAATTAAACTAAGCAAATGATAACCTAGCTGAGCTAGGTGCTATGGTAGATGACGATAATGGCAAAGCACCTTTCAGAGAGCATCTACTATGTGTCAGGCACTGTGCTAGGTACTCCATGTGCAGTTACTCAAATCTTCACAATGATGCGAGGAAGGAATTATCCCCATTTTACAAATGAGGAAGCTGAGGCTCAGAAAGGTTCTGTGACATGGCCAAGGCCATTCGGTGAGTAAGCAGCATTGGTATTCAAAGCATTGTTGTCTGGCTTTAAAGCTTGCATCCTTTTCCCTGCACCAGACTGAGATTAAAAAAAAAGAAAGAAAAAAAAAGCAGCAGAAGGCTCAGTGTTAGCCTGAAGAAAATTACAGCAGAAAACAGAATGTGATCAGGGTCCTGAGTGAGGCTGAGGTCAGGAAAGGGAGGGCAAGGCAGAGCTGTCTAGGAGAGGAAGTTCTGCAGAGGAGCTCCTTAGGTCAACCTTCCTTTCCTCCCAGGCCAGCATTCAGTCTACCAAGGAGTTGAGAGCTGACTTGGATTCTAATCCCACTTCCATTGTTTAATAGCTACTAATGTGACCTTGAGCAGGAGAACAAAGTGATAAAGAGCCTGAGCTTTGACATCAAACAGACCAGGGTTTATGTCCCAGTTTTACCAACTTATTAGCTGTGTGTTTTTGGGTGAGTCACTTAACCACTCTGGGCCTGTTTCCTCACTTGTGAAATGAAGAGCGTAATAGTCCCTACCTCATAGGGGTATGGTGTGGATTAAATGTGATAATGTGTGCAAAGTGCATGGCACAGGCTAATGGTAATGCTATCAGCCAAGAGTTACTAGGTGCTTACTAGGTGCTATGCATTGTGCCCAAAGTACCTTATGTGCATTATCTCATTTAATCCTAATATAATACTGTGTGGTGGATGCTATTATTATCGATACTTTATAGATCAGAGCACTGAGGCCCAGAGTGGTCAAATGACTTGTTCAAGTTCACAGGGCTAGCAGATGACATAGCTGAAATACAAAGCACCTAATAAGTATAGCAAAAAATAAAAAAAGAGAATTGGAGGTGTGAGCATCTGCTTCATGAGATATATTAGGGTCTGTGGGGACTCAAAGGAGAATTTCTGCACTGTCTGTACCCTGGTGGGAGAGATGAGAAGTGCTCTTTCTTCTGGGCAGGGGATGCTGACTGCAGCAGAGACATTTTTTCTACCTCCAAAGGCAGCAGGTCAGAGGCTCCAAGAGTGAGGCATTTCAGCTCCCTCTGGGCAAAACTGCTTTCCTCTCTGGTAATTACAACTTGTCACTCTTTGATGAGCATGGATTCCCCCAATCCAGAACTTCCAGTTGCACAGCATTCCCTGGCAAGGTAGAGAAAGCTCAGTTGCAGCCCTTTGTAGCAGGCTGGTGAAGATTAATTGCCACGTCATCCAGGTGCTGAATTCATAGCACATATTTGGGGACAGCCCAGGAGCTCTGAATTGGGGGCTGGGGTGTGAGGGTACAGGGTTCCAGAGGGTGGAATCAGAAAGACCTGCAGTCTCTGGAACTGGAGAATGGGTCCATTCTCTCTGATGCCCCAGGAGCTACCCTGCTGCAGAGTCGAGGGCAGAGGGGAGCATGTGCTGTTTTCTCAAATGACTCTGGCTGTTCTGTTATGACCTGGCTTTGCTGCCATCACTATCACTTTGCCCAGGAATCCATGGTGCCTCCAGAATTTCTTTAGAAAGGGTCTTTAGATTGTGATCTAATTTGAAGGTGGGCATGGTGCTGATAACACCAAGGCCAAGGGTTCAGATCCCTATACTGGCTAGCTGTCATTAAAAAAAAAAAAATGATTTGAAGGTGGGCATGCAGCTGTTTTTGCCCCGTGCTCTTCCCAAGACAGATGTCATTGTTCATATCAAAGATGGAGGGCAGGAAGCTGGTGGAGATTTGACAGGGGCTAAAGCCCTCCTAAGTTGCCTTAGTACTGTCACTGCCAGGATTTACTTTCTAATCACGTGTGCTGAAATCATCAAAGGTTAAAAAGGCAAAAAACCAAAAACCAAAAACCAAAAAACAAACATAAAACCCTGCTCCCAACAAAAAAACCCTATGGCAATAGGCTCCCAATGGCTGGATTTTCAAGGCCCTGGCTCCTCTGGGCTCCCCTGCCACAAGTCAGGATCACAAACTTCTGAAATGTCAGAACCAGAAGACTCTAGAGATCATCTAGTCCAGGGTCTGCAGATTACAGCCTATGGATCAAATTCAGCCTTGTGACTGTTTTTGTAAATAAAGTTATCGCAACACAGCCACGCCCACTTGTTTGCATATTGTCTATGGCTGCTTTCATGCTATAATGGCAGAATTGGATAGTTGCAACAGACTGACTGTCCTGCAAAAACTAAAATATTGGCTGGCCCGTGGCTCACTTGGGAGAATGTGGTGCTGACAACACCAAGTCAAGGGTTAAGATCCCCTTACTGGTCATCTTTAAAAAACAAAAAAAACCCTAAAATATTTACTCTTTCTGGCCCCTTGCAGAAAAGGTTTGTTAACTCTTCATCTAGTCCAACCCTCTTATTTTACATGAGGGGACACAAAGGCCCCCAAAAGGGAGGGGATTTGCCTGAGGCAGAGCCAGCATCAGTAACAGGGAGATTTGATTCCACACCCACAACTCTTTTTAGACACTGCTGCCATCTATTTCTGCAGCATGTTATGGGCTCTGAGTTTGAATCGTTGAGCAGATGTGTGATCTCAGGCAAGCTACATAAACTCAACCTCCATTTTTTCACCTGTGCCCTGGGGATAATGCTTTCTATTTCTTGGGATAATGCACACAGTAGGTGGTTGTATGAATTAGACGAGCTATAGTCTGTGATGCTTAGGCTGGGAACTGGCCCATAAAATACTCAACAAAAGGCCACTCATTATTAGATTGATGTCCTCTATAATTATGTGTGTGTGTGTGTGTGTGTGTGTGTGTGTGTGTGTCTTATCTCCCTCATTCCAAATTTCTTAAGGGAGAGGGCTATCCCTTACCAGCGGTTCTTGAACACTTTGGGTCCTAGACCACATTGAGAATCTGTTGAAATCTGTGGATACGGCGTTTCGCCCTACATGTTCCCTGAATTCTTTATAGGGGCTTCCTTGTTGCCAAGTTCCTGGCAAGGTCCCTTGATCAATTGATCTCCACCCTGTTACTTCCTTTATTCGTTTGTTTGCTGAGCCTCTCTCCTGCTAATTCTCTTTATCTCAGTGTAACTTCTCTCACTTTTGGGCAGCAGAACTAATTCAGTGTTTTACCATCTATCATGGAGCTGAACTTGAACTGCATAAAGTGAATTGACACTGGCCT